AGATTGTTTATCTACGTATCTGTGTCAATAGCTAGATCAGCAATTCAGATTGGGTAAAGATCAGTCCACATCAATGATTTAGAAAAATATTTAAAATTAAATAAAAAATTAAAATAAAAGTTTATGAGATTGCAATATAACGTAGACTTAAGAAAGTATTCAATAAGCTTTTATATATATATATGAAAGTGTGAGTTTTAGAGGGAACCAATTAGAAACTTATACCATCCCAAAGTCAATTCAATCGTGACTGATTCTCATTTGGACCTATCAAACCACCAATCATTCGGGTTTAAAAAACTAGTTCCATAATTTGCATTGAGATCGAAGTGGTAGATCCGTTTAGAACGAAAAGAAATGCTTTTTCTCATTTGCAATTAAGAATTCCAATATTGGTCATTGCATGTTTTTCTTATGAGGAACATTCCACTTGCTTTTTTTTTTTCTTTTATAGTTTCAGTCCTGAAACTTGCAAATATAGGTCATAGAGTGGCCTACTTGAAATATAGGTCACAGACGGGGCTACTTGGAGATCTGTGTGGCACGTGAAGGGATAAAAGGCGCGTCTCTCTCTCTCTCACAAGAAGTATATGCACACGTGAAGAGGAAAATCCAAAAGAGTTTGAAAACTTTTCAGGAAATGAGCCCCAACACCACAACTCTCTCTCTCTCTCTCTCTCGCCAGCAAGTGTTGTTAGCTAATCTACAACAATTACTGATGGTTTCTAGGAATCCAAAATCGTTGAGAGCCACTGTCATTGTCCCGTTCGTTGGTTTTTGGAATGAAAGAAAAAATAAAGATGAGATTGGTGGTCGTTCAGGTGGAGTTTTGAGAGTGAAAAGGAGGAGTTTTTGGTTGGAGGCAAAAGGGTGGTATTGAGAGAGTTTACAAGTTTGGGGAACAGATGCGGTCTATATTTACAGGGAAGAACGACCTCGGTGGGTAGTTGTAGAGAGAGAGAGGTTCTATCTTCTCGTGTGTGGAGTGAGAGGACGGGGGGGGGGAGGCGAGGTGAGCTTTTTATATGACAGAGAGAGAGAGAGAGAGAGAGATTCTTCACGTGGTCCATGGGGACCTGCGAAGGAACCGTCATAATTAGGGTTTCCTTGGATTTAGTTCGATAGAATATAGTGACAAATACATGCATTTATTTACACAGAAAACGCAGTGTCACGCAATTGTACGTTCAAATTCTCTCTCATTTGTAAAAAACTCACACACACCAGCTTTTCATTCAAAAACCTACATCAACTTCAGTGCAATAAGTAAATCTCTCTCCCTCGCTCTCTATTCAAAAACTTAAAATGAGTTTCGTTGCAATAAGTATATACTCTTTCTTTTTCCCTCTTTTGTTTTTTAACCAACTATATACTAGAGTCTGTTGTCTGCTTTTTCACCAAGAAATTCAATGATTCCATGAGCCTGTTTATATTCTCTGTGCTTTGGATTGTTCCTTATGTGATGATTTCCAAAAAGCAGTTGGTCTCAAGCCTTTAAATAAAAACACAAAAAGCAATTGGTCTCATACCATGGTACTTTTTTAACCTACTAGCCATAAGAAGTTTACAAAATCATTTCTTGCATCTTTCAAAAAGGTTTTTTTGCATCTCAAGCCTCATTTGCCAACATCAATTGAATTTTAGGGGCGTTTGGGTGGCTCATGAATTTATCCATTCGATTTCTAAAGATCAATGCCACCAAATGAGTACAAATGAATAAGTAAGGCCTTAACTCCCCCCTTTTATTATCAACCATATATATATATATATATATGGACACAGTTTCTATGTAGAAATGAGTCACCCCTTAAAAATCTATTCTTGAGATGGATTTTTTGGACCTAATTTTTAAGGACCTATGTAATCTCTAACATAGAGACCATGAATATGAAAAAACAAATAAATTTTGAAAATATAAAATAATAATTCTATTAAAAACACATTTGGACCATTACTTTCGATTGTTTTTAGATAAACCACTTATTTACATCCATCTTTAAGATGGATGCTTTATACCTCGTGGACCGAATATGTAGAAATCCGCCCCACTCCGCATGAAACTATACATATATATATACATGTTTGGTTCTTGTGGAGATGGACTTCTAGAATAAAATGTTGCCCCAACACTTGTGATCTCTTTTTGTTCTTTCAGTAAGCTGCATTCCCATGGGATATCTCTCATGCTCCAAGGACTTGAAGAATTTACATTTTTCGCGAAGTTTCTATGCCGATTTATGACATGTTGCTTCAATTGAAACCAATTCAAGCTCGATCTTTGGCCGATATCTCTTCAACATTCAAAGATGTTGTTATTTTTGTGTTCTTATTTTGTGCTCACAAGTTGCCCGAATATTGTTGTTAGGATCCCAATATCATTTATCATGTAATAAAAAATTTAACTCTTAGATGGTTCTCTTGCTTAGAGCGTCATTAATTGACAGATATTTTTCATTGCATACATGAGTTAAAGCAGTAAATTGATATTAGAGAAAATTTTATTTGATTTGGAGCATCAGAAGGCCCTTTATCGTGATTTCTGAAATATTTGGCATTTATAGTAACTATGATTGTATCTTAGTGACATGGTTAACATTGGTTGATTATGTTGCATTACTCTCCCCCAATTTCATGCACCTATTTTCAGATCAAAATAACACTGATTTTCATTTACTGAAAACTCATGGATTGATATGATTGTTGTTTGTGCTTCATACATGAAAGGCCTCATCTATGTTATAGGAAGTTTTTACATCTCTCCTCTCCCTATAAAACCCCTCCTTGTTTTGCAAAACATATATGTGTGGTGTTCTTATCGAAATTTGCAAGATTCATAGTTATCTTCGACAAAGGTTTCGGGTCCCAATCCACTAATTATGGTGGACTGCCCTAAATTTAGCAATGACTTATGATAATGATGCTAAGATACGAATGTAGAGAGGATAGAGAAAGTGAGGATTCAGCAAAAAATGGACAGGGAATCATTGCCACTCGGAGCAAAAGAGAGAAGATGACGACGACACAATAGTCAGCGGCGTAAATATGACAGCTAAGATGAAGCAGCTACGCGTCTTAAGATTCCTTTTATGGAAGAAAAATCACCATTAATTGCAGACTCTCTCTCTCTCTTGTGCTCGCTCGCTTGCTTATCACCATTGAGTTCATCAGCAATCTCTTCAAATTTACTGAGAGATAATTAGCGCGGTAATTTCAATTGCATAGTCATCCACACAAACTCTAGCAATGTGTTCAACAAAAGAAGCATATGCATCTTCCCTAACCAAGGGCAAAAGTTGCAGTGTCTGAGTTGGTGAATCGAGAAATTTATCTCAAGAGGCATGTTGGGGTAAAATTTGTTATGTAAAAAACGATTTAAAAGAAAGATCGAGATATTACGGTAAATATAAAGAGGAAGTTGTGTCAAATGGCAGAGAAAATGTATCCATTGGTCTTAAATGAGTCGCAATTTAATAAGAAAACTATTTACTTTTAATGTAAGGAGGTCACAAATATTATTGACTATTAGATGTAAAATTAGGTAGTTGGGAATGTGATTGGGCACAAAATCCAAAATAAAATTTCTCAAATATTATAACACAATTTAATTTGTCAATTTTGATAATCCCTTTAAATACAAAAACCTTAGATTAGCGTGTTTTTGGCATTCTAAATGAACTTCAAGGATTCAAACCTTGCTCCCCCTCACTCAAGCAAACTTCAAAGATTCGAACCATTGACCTCCTTCACCAAATCCATATAGCTACCAACTGTTCCCAAGCCTAATGCACCACATAGAAGGCGCTTAGTTACTAGCTAGTTATGGCATGTGCTTATGTGAACATTAGATCTTACATGGTAAAAAACCAAGTTTCTCATGTGGCTCCAATTTCAAATGGTTTAAAAGTGGAAATAAAGTTATGCATGAGTTTGCACAATTTTTTACATGGAAAGGTTACAGGCTGTTCTCTTTTTACCCTATCATTGTCTTTCCCTTCTAAAATATTAAAAAAGAAAGTACAAAGAGAAAAAAAAAAAAGAGAGAAAGAGAGAGTTATGAGCGTACAAATTGAAGATAGCAAGGCTTGATAAAGAGATTGAGTGAATGATTTCACACTAAAAACAAACGTCGATAGAGAGAGATTCCACCCAAAACAAAAAAAAGGAAAATGGTTTGATTGGGCTGCATCTCCATCTCATAACTCATCTAAAATTGCAATTCAATAAACCTTTTCCATCAATCATTTTGGCTTAACCACTATGGTTGTAAAAAAATAAATAAGACTTCAAGCTCTAAAAATAGTGTATATTGTAACAAATCATCTAGATCGTCCATGTTGCAATAAAAATAAGTGTTAATAGATCATCAAGATTTGTACCATTTTTTTACTTTCAAATTTTATTTTCAGCATTGGAAATCGATTTTGGAGCCATCATGGAGATTTCCATTGTTGAAAATGCTTCCTGGACGAGGATTTAAGGTGATGGTTTATTTTGTTAACATAAAGCCTAAAGCCTAGGCCTTATAGAAACCTCATAAA